AAAGGTTTGGTCGTGCGTCTTGCCTGAAAACAAATTGATCTCTCGGGCGAAGTGCTGATAGCTCGGCGACAGAACAGTTGTGATGAAAGGACAGTCAGACCGCTGCCCTGCTTAGAATGCTTAGCCCAGCCGCAGCGAATAATGATACATAGATTTAGTGATGGGACGAATCTTTATCCGAATCGAGATTCGGAGCCAAATCTGAAGATTCGGAAATATTCGGAAAAGTAGCCGAATCTCAAGCGATTCGGAAAAGTTCTGAAATATTCAAAGCGTTGCCATGGTTGCCAGATCACGTTGATGAGTGTTTCAACTTTTCGTGATACTAAATTCACTAAATTCTACAAAGTGCACAAAATAATGTTGTAATATAATATCATAGTAATTAATAAAATGCTCCGCTTTGTTTATAATATTTTGGATGTTTGTCGAGAATGGAAACCAGGCATCGTGGGAACATTGGTTTCGGTTCCGGATTACGACCAAAATAGGCATGCTTGGTCCACGTGGAAATACAAGCATACAAGCGCATGTTTTCATCGCCCGAGTGGCCCGGGCGGTTCGGCGACAGTCGGTTGTGGACCAGGGACCTCCGGCGTTGTCGGCGGGGCCATGGCAGTGACAACCGCGGCTGCCCTTCCAGCGAAACGCAAGCACGAAAAGTTCCTCGTGGATCTCGTCAGGCTGGGTGTGGCCACCCCAGCCCGGCGGGATTCAGCGGACGTGCAGCCGGTGCAGCGGCGGGTCGACGGAGCGAGCTGATGTTTACGTGAAGATCAAGTTCTCGTACTCCGGGGTTACCAGAGACGTCGACCGCGCTCGTCCGAGGTTCGCAGCAGTCCCCCCCCCCCCCCTCCCCCCCCCCCCCCCCCCCCCCCCCACAAGAGATTGATGCCGTACGTGCGGTTCGGCAGGAACACATCTCATGCCCATAATTACGGTCATAGTAGCACCAGCAGCACACACCACACATATGTAAGTATGTTCGATTCGATTATCTTTAACGTGTGTCCACTGCGGTATTGTTATCGAAACACGGGAAACAATCTAAAAGTCCTTGCGCCATACTATGTACGGTGGAAGGAGTATTTGTACCTTTCTAGTTAATGATATCTTAATTAGTGTTTGTTCCTGAACAATAAAGTTGGGTTAGACACCCCTATGTTGTTTCTTTTTCATCAAATAAAGTTCAAGTATACAATACTTGCTGCCGAGAGGGAGAAACGACAGTGCCAGTGTGACGTTTTTCTTCGCCGGTGCCGTATGCGGTCGAAGCTGGGACGAGCAACACTTTTCATCGCTCTCGCGTCTTACGCAGCTAGCTCTAGAAAAGGAGACGAATCATTTCCTTGCCTGAATATATTTATTGCGCGTTGCGCCACATTATGTATAATACACAGCATTTCGCTACATTTTACCGATCCCCTCGAAACCGCACAGAAACCAAAACCGTGCATTTGTTAGGCCTACGCCAACCACACCGATCAGCTCAGCTGGACCTGGGCGCGTGCCAGGATTTAGAATGACAGTACAGTACATACCATAAGTTGAAGTAAGCAAGACGAAATCTGAAACACAACTGACCGCATTCGCGAGGTTTACGACAAGGTTCATAGTGCCGTCTGCAACCAGCGACGAACCTGACGAATCTCCGAATCAGCCGAATATTCGTCGCGGGAAGTTCGGAAATTTCCGAATCCGAATCTCCAGTGATTCGTCCCATCACTACTTAGATTGGAAAGCCGAAACACCTGTTAGCGTTGCGTAAAGGTTTGCTCCATGCATACCGCCTAAAAACGAATTGACGTGCAATTGAACAACGGTGCGCCGGTATCGGCGTGCTTCCGTCTCGCTGCGAGACGGAACCGACGGAACCAGGGAATCTGACAAATTTGGGGGTTTCCTGCGTCGACGAGCCGGTTCAAGAATGTTTTCTTTAATTGAAATCGTAACAGCATGCATGGTCAATAGGGAGTATTCACTGGACGCCATATTTGAGGGCGATGTCGAGAGCGCATGCTCGGAAAGAGCTCACGTTAATAGGCTCCTAAGACCGGCAATCTTGATGGTGCGAAACGCACGTGGCGAAAGAACTATGGAAGCACGCCGTCAGCACAGGCTCAGCTCAGCAGTCGCGCACATAGCTATGGCCGCCAGTGAATACTCCCTATAAATACAGGGTGAAACAAGGAGACACCAGGCTCTTTAAATCGACCGGAAAATTCGGTTTCTTAATCTATCGCGCTACGACTTTGTGCAGCGTTGCCCACAGATGGTGCACTTTTTTTGTAAAATTTGCAAAAAGCGAACTTACCTGAGGAAAAAGTAAACAAAGAAAAAGGCTTAGCTCCTATGGAAACGCAGCGACGCCACCGGTCTTCAAACAACACGGCGCCGTTTCGCACGGGTCACAAGAGATGGCGCAACGAACGCCGCCAACGAACGAGCATACGGCGCCGAGAGCCAGCGCCTCAAGCAGACAATCGTTTCGACTCAAAAGCGGAGCGCGTTCCGCGGGCGGGAACAATCGCAGAAATAAAAACAAGCGCGGTAACAACAAGGAACCGCAGTTCCTGTCTGCGTCGTCTGCTCGTTCGTTGGCGGCAGTTGGCGTCACGACCGCTTGCGCCATCTCTTGTGGCCCGTGCGAAACGGCACCGTGTTGTTTGCAGACCGGTGGCTACGCTGCGTTTCCATAGGAGCTAAGGCTTTTTCTTTCTTTACTTTTTCTTCAGGTAAGTTCGCTCTTTTCAAATTTTACAAAAAAAATGCACCATCTGTGGGCAACGCTGCACGAAGTCGTAGCACGATAGGTTAATAGCGAGTTCGTTTCACGGCACTCGTGCCCACGCGTGCCCACTCGCAGCAAGGAACGGGTTCGTTTCGGCCGGCGCTCCACGAGTGGTTGCACTCTCCGAGTTCGTTTCATCGCTGACACCCCACGCGTGCATGCGCTCGCTGCACCGAGAAAATCGGGAGTGCGCCAAAATGCAATCCCGTCATGCCTCGCTCCGGCGGGGCCGGCGAGGAGCGGGAGCAGACGACGAGGGTTCGTCTGCTACGATATGTGGCGGAACCGAACGGAAAAAAAAAGAGGCGAGAAACAGACGCACAGTGCTGTCTGTTTCTCGCCTCTTTGTCCCCGTTTTTTGAGCGCTAAAATGTATTCCAAAAGCGCACTGTGCTGTCTGTTTCTCGCCTCTTTGTCCCTGTTTTTTGAGCGCTAAAATGTATTCCAAATTCTAAAACCAACTAGCCCAACAATCTACTCTACGGAAAAAAAAAGTAGATTTTCTGATAGAAATCATGTCCCGCGGGCAACGAAATCAAACGCGAACTTGAATTGTGAGCGCCTGCTATTTCACGAAGGAAGCAATTGACAACCCGTGATTCATTTGCAGGTTTTAAATCACTCTGTTGCCGTACAAACGCTGAAATATACCAGTGTGTAAAGAAATGCTCAGAACACGCAACAGCGGCCCTCGAGATTTCTACCACCATCCGTGTGCGGGTGAAAAATTGAACATTTGTTGATAAAACTCCCCCTATGACTACCCAATAAGCATCAGAGAAAGCTAAAGATGGTGACTTTACCCGAGGATTGGGCAACATCATCATGTTTAACATTTACCTAAGCAGCTAACTTGCCCCGTCGTATTTTGTTCGAGAAAGCTCTCGTTCTCGACGCCCTCACCAAAGCTAATATCTAATCCACCTATAGTGACGATTTAAATCGAAAATCCCAGTTTTGCTGGATATTCTAACAGGCTAGTTTTAAGCCGTACCCTTTCAGTGGTTCACACATAATACCATGCTCAAACGGATCAAGCTTCTGCTCGGACAGCATCATTAGTTTTCTTCAGTGTAAACGGTTTTAAGAATTGAAAGATCGCAACCAGCTGCTTTGTAGACAGCTGGTTGCGGAAATTTACGCCGTCTGTAACTAGCTCTACGGCAGCCGAGCTGCTTGAAGACATCGCAACTATAAACTACAGGCTGCAGTTGCCAACGTTAGTAGATAAACGTTGGTAGCAACTGCATTCTCGCATTCCCACGCATCACTCAGAACCTCTATGCTCGGAACAGAAAGGCGCTAGTTTCGGTTCGAGGTCGGTGCCTTTTCTACAACATAGATGGCGGCAGCATCAGTCTTCTGCACTCGGTGCATTTGGCAAGTTCGTTTGAGTCCAGTTTTCCGTGCAACACTCTGTGAGTGCGATGCATTCTGGGAGAGAACTCGAACGGTGCCAGTGCGTGCGAAACGAACTCGCTATAAGATACCGAATTTTTCAATTAATTTAAAGAGCCTGGCGTCTCTTTGTTTCACCCTGTAGATCGGCCAAGGTAACCTTCCAGATATGTGCACGAAACGAGTCTTAAAACCTTTCAGGAATATTGAAACGTTCGTAGAAACTTCATACGTTGCAGTCTCTTTTGCTTTAGAGTCTGCGGCTCCACACGGGCCTAATTATTTATCTTCGAAATATTTTCGGCTTCTGCCACCCGTATTCACGGTCGGAAGGAGCTTACTCGATCTACCGATCTAACTCTAGAGTAAAGGTGGTTATCGAAAACCTACCCGCGTCCAGCGTTTCTCTATTTTTGTTGTCACGTGACATAATCGGCCAGTGTAACTGGGATCCATTCGAGTAGGTTTGGAACGCAGCCTCGGTGTATCGCGCTCTTGTACGCTATGCGCCGTTTAGTTGCTGCGCCCGGAGTATGAAACTCGGAGCGTCGGAGTAGGAGTAAAGAAGCGCCGACTTAACGCGCCCCCTATCCGCACTCGGAGGGCGAATAGGGACAGCCTGGATGGACTGGCTCGAGTTATCTATTCGGACGTGACACGCCCGGCGGCGATGCTCTAAGCTCGTCTCTGTCATTTCGGCATGCGTCTCACTTCAAACTTTGAATCTACAACGAAAACTAGCTGGATATCCCTTCAAATATGTTCAATCAACACGCTATCGAATCAATTTAAAAGAGAAACACTTGCTTACCGGCGGTTAGCGTTTCCCGAAGGTGCTCCGGCAGCCGTGCACAACCTACGGTCGTTGACTAGACGCAGCGTCCATCAGCGTCTCCCAGATATCGTTTGTTACTCTTGACAAAGTACCTGTAAAAGAAAAAAGAAAAAAAACGTAAAGGAATCGGTTTAAACGTAGAAATGAACGCAAACCACACAGCGACGTCGACGACGGCGCGGTCCCCATTCGTACGCCAGACTGTGCCAGACCATCTGGAACTACGGAGCAAGTGGTGGTCACAAACGCAAAACTTTAAATGCTCTTTTTTTTTTCTTTTTTACTTTTTCTTTTACACGTCGTATAAACAAAGGCTTTTTTTTAACGCGCCTGCGAGAATATTTTTGGAGTGACCGCTTTTGTGCAAAATTGTTTTGGTGCTACTGTAAATTCTGAATACTTTTGGTTTCGGTTTCGGAAACCAGGTGGAGAAAAAAAAAAAAATAACGCTTTCGGAAACACTAGTAATAGAGAGTTTTAGTAGATCGTTCCGATACCTCCGATAGCCCCGATAACGATACTATGCATGCTCAAGGGAGGCGGTGGCGGAGTATCGGGTATCGTTATCGGAGTCATGGGAACGATCTACTAAAACTCTCTAGTATTTCTGGAATCGTGATTTGAAAGGGAGATTGGAAATGACGCTTTCTTTTGTTTTAGTACAAACTCTGCCTTTATTTTTTTATTTGTGCTTTTTTTAACAATTGTGCTATCCCTTCGTCGCGTAGTACAAACTGTGCCTGCATTTATTTATTTTTGTGCATTTTTGTGCAAAATTTATTGTTTTTTTTATGCTATGGCTTCGTCACATTTTCCAAAATAAATATTTGTAGCACTTCAACAACGAATATAAATGAATTAATGAAAATGGGTAAATATAAAGACGAGCTACTCTAATTCACAGCAGTGTTGCGGAGTTGCCACTCCGGAGTTGGAATGATTCCGGAATCATTCCGCATTTTCGCGACCCCGGAATGGAATGGGAATGGAATGGCGGCAGCGCTCAGGGGAATGGAATGGGAATGGAATTAAATGCCTTTTGCCCGGAATGGAATGGGAATGGAATGGGCCAGGTTCTTTATATTTTATTTATTTATTTATTTATTTTTTACGTTCAGCTATACCGAGCCAGTCAGAGAGTCGGTTGTTCAGAAATAAAATGAGTGGGAAACTGCGAACCCGCGTAAGGCCCTAGCAGACTTATGCGCAAAAGAAAAAAAATGCAAAACAAAAAACGAGCGTCAAAGCAAAGAACAGAGAGGGGAGGGGAGGGGGGGGGGGGGGGGGGGGGAGGGCGGTGGCGCCTTTCACCAGTGAAGTTCAACACACATCCGAATGCGCCTGCGCCTGTAATATTGCACAGCTGGTACGTCATCAGCCGACGTGAACGTGACCTGCTGCTCTGGTGATCCGATACCCAGGAAGGAGGCCAGACGTGGCCTTGCTGTGCGGACCCAGACTTCGTACACTTTCGAGTCGTCTCGAACGCGCTGTTTCTTGAAGAGCTCGCACCTGTGCCAGCAATCTCAGATCGCAATCCACGAGACGTTTGTTTGAATGATGCTAGGCGAAACTTGAAGACTGCCATTCATGCGTTGTAGGCGGAGAGTCGGCAGGAAGGACCGTCACAACAGAGATGCCACCGTATCGATTTTTCGACCGTAACAGAAGATAATACATGTGGTTCAGGATGCTTCTGGTGGTCCACTTTTCTCAAAAATTCCAAATGCAACTGCCTGCATGGTCTTCAACGAGGTCAGCTACAACGATAGTATGTATTGTCCTTTCATAGAGCAGCGTGGGTAAACTTTCATGTTCAAGGCAACACCTACAGATTCAAGAATACTAGTTCATCCCACCATGACGTCATGTGATCAGTGCTGACGGGGGCGCCCTTATTGGACATGGAAGTGGTGATGTTTTGATGGAATTAATTTTAGAGTTCGAAATCTTTTCGCATCACTGGTCAGTCGGACATAATGCCAGGGAAGGGACTGCGGTCTATCCTTGATGGAACGTTTTTTTTTTTTTTTTTAAATCCATTGAGGACTCTTCGTCCGGAACCACTACCTTCAAGGCGAAGTGCCAAGCCTGCAGAAAAGTAATTTCGGGACCAAAACAAAAAACTTCCACTTCAAACTTAAAGCCTCATCTCAGTTGGCGTCTCAAAGAAATTTGAACAATGTATTATCAGTATTTATATTTCTGCCCTCCCTAAAATATATTCTTGTATTTGTATTTCCAAAGACTTTTTGCCTCTTTTTAAAATGTATTTCCGATACGTATTACGATACATTTTTACAGATATATTTGAGACTTGAGTATCATTATTTTAGTTACTATTTTCATCTATCCCAGCATTTGTATTTCCAAATACATTTCTGAACATTTCTGCCCAACCCTGCAACGTATAGCAGCTGTCAAGTGACACTTTTAACGTTTAGGAATTGGAGGAATGGGAGCGACTCAGCCATTCCAGGAGTGGGAATGGGCCCCGTGTCCCCATTCCTAGGAGTTGAAAGGAATGGAATTATCGAAAACTCTAATTCCCCGGAATGGAATTGGAATGGAATGGGGGTGCCCATTCCGCAACACTGATTCACAGTATGCCCGAAGTGCAATGTGTGCCCTTAAAAATATTTTTAAATGCAAAGAATATTTATTTTCATAAATGCTTTCAGTATAGAAATAGGGATTTCGTGAGTATGGCTTGCAGCCTAGATGACGTCACAGTATTTCGTGACACTGATGCTATCATCCCAAAGGCGCTCGAAATTCTAACCATACTCCATCTCAGAAATGTTTGCAGTAAAGACAAAGGCGCAGAGAGGCGCTTGAGCATCGCTCAGTAGTGTGCTTTTGTTTGTACGAGCACTCGTTCATAAGAGGCACTTTCTAAAGCCACGCGCTCGTGCCGGTGCCTTTGTCTTCACTGCAAAAATTTAAAAGTTCTTTTTTTTTTTTTGCAATTTTTGAAATAGGTTGGCCGTAGTTTGTTCCCAAAATGACTTTTTGTTTTCTTTTTACACCCTATTTTTAAACGAACTTTGAAAGTCTCCGCAGGCACACCTGATCGCTACTGTTAATATTCTGCCGCCTTTTAGCTACACAAATTACATTTTGTTTTACATCCAGGGCCAGTGGCGTAGCCAGGGGAATCCCCCCAATACCCCCCAAAAATGTGGCGGTGGGTTGCGGCATACGGACACCCCCCCCCCCCCCCCCCCCCTTTTTGTAAAAAAAAAATTATGTCACCAATGTCCAGGGCTAAGAAAATGAAACGCACACAGACACAGACGCACGCACACGCGAGCGCGCAAGCACACACAGAGACGCACATTCACGCAGACATGCACACGCACGCACACATACACGCACGCGCACAGGGACGTGGCATACACGCGCGCGCTCCCGCGCACACATGCACACAGACGCATGCACGCCTGCACACACCAGTGTTGCACACGCAATCACATCCGCAGAGGCACGCACACGGACTCTCGCGTTCACACCTACACACACACACAACGCACGTAAAAAATGCGTTTAATTTTTTTAACATAATCTAAACCCTGAGACAAGGAGAAATAAAATAACGGAGAGGGCAAGTTGTTTTGTCTGTTATTTTGTTTATCATTGTCTCCGGGTTTACTTTCGTTCCTTGATCTTTCAAACCTGCCGGAATCTATACCGAAACTACCTCAAGTATAGTTTCGGTCTCTTTGCTTGGGCAGCGCTTTGAAATAAAACCGTAAAACCGGCCGGCCAAGTCAATCCATTTTTTCAATGGCGTCGCAGACTCGCAGTTTCATCTGGACGTGTCGTTTGGACGTGTTGACGGATTTAAAGGTGAGATATTATCTGCAACATTTTTTCGAACACTTGTTATTTGTTCGGGAACCTGGTAAGTGAATATAGAAACCTTTTATTGTTTACATTTGATGGGAGCGACCACATATGTCTGACTGTCTTTTTCGTGGTTTCGCGGATTGCTTTCGCTCTTTAAAAATACCCTGTGCCCAGAGTGCCCTCATTCAATTGCATTCTCACGGCGATATTTTGGGGTTCTTATGGTATCCGCGAGTTTATCGTTAATATTTTATTTTGAAGTTCTGCCGTGGTACTAGCGACATGATAACGGGGTGATCTGCTTTCAGCTTCTCAACCTGTACTATCGCGGACAAAATGAGCTGAAACAGCGCTCCGCCCAGCGCCGCCTGTCGCCTTGCTCCGCACGCACGGCGCACCCTGAGGCCGAGATAAATTCTCACTTGCGCTCGCTGCGCCACTGCGCTCTTCCGTCCGTCTGCTAGCGAGACGGCTTGTGCGACAGCAGGCGTGTGCGTGGTAGGGCGGCAGGGGGGGGGGGGGGGATGTGCATTGTTGAGGTTGTTCAGGCCACAGTTCAGGCGTTCCGCTCTAGGCAAGGGGTTTTGCGGTGCGGCAAAGTCGCTCCCACGCCACGAGTCGGCGTTTTGTTGCCTCCGTCGGATGATTCAAGTCCCCATATGGCGTGTAATTTTTACGGTCACTGTCGTCGTCGTTGCCCTCCTCGGCCTCGTCTCCGTAGCCAAGGGCCTGTGCTATACCGCACTACAACGCGCTTTGCCCTTTCTGGTCGATGCTACTGCGTTGTCCCAAGATGTGTTCGACAGTCTCCTCGTCGCCGCCACAGAGCCCGCATTTGGATCTTCTCCATAAAGCTCAAATCTGCGTCTCTGGGTCAGTAGGGAGCCCGTTCGAGCCTGGAACAGCAGCGCGCTGGCTCGCTCTCCCTGCTAGTGTGGATAGGGCGCTGGTTCCTTCTTGTGTTTCCTGTACAGTTGGAGGCTCAGTATCCTCTGCATTGTCCTTCTCCAGTCCTCTATTCCGGCCCGTGTCACCTCTGCCCGTATTGTCCTCGCCCACTCCTGTTCCGTCGTCACCAGATGTCTTGTTGTGCCCCCATCGTACTTAGAATCTATGGTCTTTATTCTCTTCATCCAGCCTGTCTTGGACCCCTGATATCGGATGTGGTAGTACATCCCTCTGGCGTAGCTCTCCTGGGGAAGGAACTTTAGTCTGCCCATCTATGCAAGCTTCAACCTGGCCTCTCGTATCTTGTAGGTAGACATCCCATTTCCCCGGTTACCGCTGCGTTTGCTGTGCAGCTCAGCAGCCATCTCCCCAGTCTGTATTGATGTCGATCCGGACACTTTACCACTGTCTCGCTGTATGTAATCGCGTCATTCGCGTAAGTCACTGCTTGGACTGCAAGGGATTTCCATAGTAGCCTCCCAACCGAGTGTCTATTGTATGAGTGCCTGGCGAGATGCCACACCACCCCCTTCAGTTTGTTTGACTTTTTAATTACGTTTTTTTTCTGTTTGGTCAGGTAGTCCTTGCTGTGCGTTATTGTTACACCAAGGTAATTGTAGGCTGTTGTTTTCTGTACTGTTTAATTTTGTAGGTAAAAGCTGGTGTCCAAATTCACGTTGGAGCCCATCCACTGCGTTCTTCCTGCATTAAATTTAAGGTTGTCCCTCGCTGCCACCCCTGTGCAGATGTCAATCATGTGCTGCATATCGGTTGAGGACTCTGCGAGGAGCACCACATTGTTCGCAAAGGCCAGGCATGGGATGCGCGTGTATTCTTCCTCTTTAATTGTCCTTGGTCGTAGTGCTCAAGCGCAACCCTGCCCCTTCCTCCTCCAGATGTTTGAGACGTTTGAGAAGGTCGTTTGTGTACACATTAAACAGTGTTGGTGATAGGCGACACCCCTGTCTCAGTCCAAAACTTATTGGTACTGGTTTTGATTTGTAGTTTTCTAATGTGTACCAGGCCTCGCAACCCCTGTACAAGCTCTTCAGGCGTTCGACACTTTCCTTTTCGAGTCCGCTTTTCTCCATCTTATCCCATAATCTTTGGTGTGGTACTGCATCATATGCTTTCTCGAGGTCTAGGAATGCCAGGAACAACTGGGAGTTTTGGATGTTTTTCATTTCTATGGCTTGGGATTAACGTAAATAGGTTATCGCTTGTTCTTCTGTTTTGCCGAAAGCCATCTTGAGCTTCTACGAAAAAGTTGTTTTTATCATACAAGATCTGTAGCCTGTGGTTTATTATGCTTGCAAATAATTTGCAGACTGCTGATTATTGCGATTGGTCGATAGGCATTGAGGTCTTTTGGGTCTGCTTGTTTCCCTTTATATAGGAGCTTTACTCTTGCCTGTTTCCACACTTACGGTATTTCTGTTGACACGAGGCGTTCATTAAAGCATGTTCTGAGGTTGTTTGCTGCCTCTTTCTTAATTGCCTTCAGGAACTCGTTCAGAATATCATCCATACCGGTTGCCTTCTTGTTTTTCTGTCGTCTTACTTGCCTCTTCATTTCCCCCGTGGTTATGGGATCTAGTATGGAATGCTTCTGTATTTTGCGTTTTCCCAAAGTTTCTTTTTGACTGTATGTCTCTTCCGGGGTTTGCTTCAGTTTTTTGTTGTTGCTGTAAGAAGTACTCAGTCATCCATTCTTCTATTTCGCATTTTTCTTTCAGGTCTTTGCCCCCTCTTTGCAGCATATGTGTCTGTTCTTTCTTTTTTTCTGCATGCATTGTAGTAATTTGTCTCCAGAATTTCTCGTTAGATTTTTTTCCCTTTTTCAGTATGTCTTCCTCTGTCTTTCTGCAGAACTGTTGAATTTTTGTGGCCACTATACTTTGTTTCACCTTGTGTTGTACCGCAGGAAAGGCTAAAAGCGTGAGCTCCTTGCTCTATGGCACACCTCGGCGGCACAAGCTCTCGTGCACCTAGGGCAGCTGCCAACGCTATGAGCTCGCACTTCTAGCCTTCGCTGCGGTACAACATGAGGTGAAACGGGGTATAGTGCCTTCACTCGAACTTTTTGTTCTTCAAAACATTCCCACGGTAGTCTTGGGTGTAGCCTTTTCGTTGTGCCTACCTGTGCTGCCTGTTGATCTCTCGTCTTCCCAATTGCCTCCTTTACCTCCTGTCGAACCAGGGCCTTCGGTTTTATTGTTTCCCTTTTCTGGTTTTTTCCACTTGTTCTTTGGCTGTTTGGGTAATTAGGCTCATTAGTTCTTCATATGTGTTGTCTTTTGTAAATTTTTTCTCCAACTCTGATGCAAATTTTCCTATTTTATCTTCTGCTCCTAGCTTCCAGTGGTTTTCCTGGATGTTTTTTTTTTTCTGTCTTTGGTTGTTGGTGTTTAGTTTTAGCAGTATTCTGTTATAATCGCTTGCACAGCTGCTCACCTTGCTCTCGTCTATGTCTATAGCATCTATCTTGATGTTTTCTTTGCCTGCCTCGTCATTTATGAGGATATAGTCAATTGTTGATTTTTGGTTGTTGCGGCTCCAGATTGTTTTTCCCTTGCATTGTGGCTCCAGGTTAACTATAGTTAAAGGGGGGGAAGGTTCAACAATTTTATGGTTAAAATAATTTGCATCTCCTCATTTTTACATTGTTTATCGTGCCCTGGAGGATAGAGAAACCATTTCCTTCCTTCAAAATGTCGCGATTCCGCTGCATAATTGCAAAGCAAAAGCCGAGCTTTTTCCCCCACTTGCAGCCGCAAGTGGCAGCCGGAGGAACTACGGCTAGAAGATTACGTGACTTCGCTCGGCTCTAAGCTGCAGCCTAACGCCCGCTAATGTCAGCAGAGAGAGGGAGAGGAAGTGTCCTCCGAGACAGCACACGGGAACCCACACGGCACTCCGAAGGACGTCACTAGGAGGGGGACCAGGTGTGACCCTGAAGACTGGGAGTGAGTTGAGGGGTGCCCGAAATGCCAATATTTATCTTTTTATGCAACAACTAGGACACACAGGAGCAATCGGTTTTCTGTTTGTTACTTCAGAAGTGTCAGAGGGCAACTTCCACAAATTTTTGACCGAAGTCCGGAAATCGTTGCACCCCCCCCCCCCTTTATGCTGTGTTTTTTACTAGTTTCCTGAGTTCTACTGCTTTGCTTTCCCTACCATCCAGTTCTGATATGTGGCAGTTAAAGTCACCCACAATCATTATCGGTTCATTTTGGAAGGTTGAGCCAATGTCTTTTGAGATGCAGTCGTAAATTGATTTGTTCCATGCCGGATCTTCATGTGCCGTTGCCGAGTAGGTTGTGCAGATGGCGCCACTTGCCCTCGAGGCTTCCAGCGCTCCCTCAATGGTCTAACCCGAGCGACTGGCAGCAAAGTTACAATACCTGACAAAAGCATTGCATCCTTGTCCCCAACTTTGTCGGTTCTTTATAGAAGGAAATAAAACTAATTGAAGAACCTAAAATTGTAGTCACATGAATTTTTTTTTTTCTGTGAAAAGGCATTTTGATAAATACCGAAGCAGACATTATCTGCTTCTGTCCTCGCGAACGCCAACTGTCGTTTACATGCACTTGCAATAATTGTTTATGTTCAGTTTTATTTTATTACCAACTAGCGTTCCTTAGGCCGCAGTTAACGCGTGAGCAACATAGTCTCGGCCCGTTTGCTTGAAGCGCTAACAGCTGCTAAAGTTAGCCGCAGTACCTAGGAGGGGGATTATTATATCACGTGACTGGCTCGGTAGGGATGCGAAGAAACGTGGCGGTGCCCCGGTGAGTGAGTGCCGCTCGCTTTGGAACTAATATGTCGTTGTAGCTGTAATATCGGGCGCGTTAGTCTGCAACGAATCGTGCAGGAGGCTTTCGCTTTGCCTTACCTCACTTAAATCGCAAAGCATGAGCAATGACCTTGCCGCATCTTTTTTATAGTTTTTTGATTCTGGCCATTACTAAGCCTAAATGAACGCGATAATTGTCGGCATGGCAACGTCTTTGGAAAGCGGATTGCCTTGACTCCATTGGCCGGGTATTGATAGCACACAAAAGCTGACAGCGTCCCATTAGACCTTTTTTTAACCTACCCAAGCATCGATAACAACGCTGGAAGTGTAAGTCTACGGTCCGCGCGCGCTGGCCTTTCTCTTATAAAATTCAAAGTAAATAATCATAATAAGGCTTTAACGAACGTGTGTGCGAGGCAAAATTTGTTTTGGACTTTTTGATTTAGAACAATTACTACTGCAGACGCTAGCACGTGCAATGCCTGTAACTACACTCGGTGCTTGGGAAATTTAGAAAAAGGTCTATTGGGACGCTGTACAAGCTTGCACAACGTCTTTGCGGAGCAAGCCACTGAGCTGCTTCGCCTAACTGCACCTAGCCGCCTAACTGCACAAACAATTTTGTTCTTAGCGTCCCTCAAGCAGGGTAAGCAAATGGGAAAATTAAAAGTGTCCTAATGTCACTCTTCTTTTTTATTTTGCCTGGAGTACATGTGACCGAACAACAAAAAATACACCCGTTATGTGGCATACTTACCTTTGGTAATGGAGCATTTCGCATCATTGGTGATTTCCTTCTCTTGCAATTAGAATGTGCAAACACTGTTGGAATGGCAGTCTGTTTCAGTTTCTTCCAACCATCTGCGCAATTTTGCTCAAACTGGGATCCTTCAAATTGCCTAGAAAAATATGATAAATTTTACTTAACAATGCCCTATAATTAACATTTGCATGCTTAGTTGCATCATGTACATTAAATCCAGGACAACTTATAACTTTCAATTTACTTAGCAGTCACTAGTTTAAACAGGGCTGTCATAACCAGGGCCCCTTAGAAGTTGCAGATAGTGAACATGAGAAATGCGCATAATTAAAATTAACTTTGCCGTTTTGTTTGGTTTCATTTAAATTCCATGTGCTCGTATATCTTTATGCAACAAACAAGGATTGTAGCTTTAGTGATCGCACATGCTTATCTTGATTGCAACGAACTATAATTATGTCTCACTTTCTTGAGTTGAGCCAAAGTTTGAACTGCATATATGACCAGATCAATGCTATTTACAGTAATTTATAAATCCATACCATCCGTGATTGTAGCTGTAGATGCGATCACGCAAGGCACGGGTGATCATTTCCATAGTGGAAAGTTTTTGGAATAAATGAAAAGACTCTTACCTCACAAAGTCGGGAACCAGCCGTTGGCGTCCACGTGTCGCGCTTTATTTTTATTAGCCAGAGTTTCCCTCATTTCTTTTTTCGGAATAATAAACAACCGAAAGCCGTCATGGCTGCTGTTAGAGCACCCGATGGCGCAGCAACAAATCATTTTCGTCTTTGAAAATAAAAGCTCAGAAAATCAAGGAGCCGGTAAACCTCCAGGGTAGCCTATGCACATGTACGGGGAATAAGAACAAAAATGGTGGTCGGGAGCGTGTCGATTGCAGCGGGTTCGCCGTTGCCACGCGGTTGCTAGGGCCAACGTCAATGCCGGTGGGAGGAGTCAAGGGTCCGCCTGGGTTCACCGAGGACAATGGATGGTCAAACTCTCCCCTATCTATGGCTCTGATCCTTGGCAGATAGAGGCACCATCTGTGAGATGCTGTCACAAACAGCGGCATTCTGTCTCCCTAGCAAAAATAACGGTTTGAAATCAGTCCGGAAAGTGAAATCCGGACTAAGATTAAACCGGAGTCACACCGGAGAGGTGGCTTCCGGTTCGCACAAACCGTGAATTTTCATATCCGGTTCAAAGTCAAATTGGAGGAATTCCGGAGAGGCGAATTCCGGTTCGCTCATACCGTGATTTTCCTAATCCGGTTCAAAGTCAAAGTGGAGGAATTCCAGACACGCAAATTCCGGTTCGCTCTAACCGTGAATTTCCTAATCCGGTTCAAAGTCAAATTGGAGGAATTCCGGACAGACTGATTCCAGTTCGCACAAACCGTGATTTTCCCAATCCGCTTCAAGGTCAAATTGAAGGAATTCCAGACAGTCAAAAATTCCGGTTCACACAAACCGTGATTTTCCTAATTGGTTTGAACAAACCGTGATTTTTGGAGTCCGGTTCAAAGTACAATTGAATGAATTCCAGACACACAATATGCGGTTCGAACAAACCATTTTTTATCAAATTCGGTTAAAAAACAAATTGGACAAAGTCTAGACTGAAAATATCTGCTTTGCACAAACCATACTTTGCCATATCTTGTTCCAAAGAAAATCGGATCAGCCGCCTGATGCCGAAGACTTTCAAGCGTATGGTTGAAATATCAAGTTGCAAACAATCCATCCCGATACCGTACGTACGGGCTGCTGCGTCGATCAAAGCTCAGACCGCAGAAGACAGCCAGCTGATATGCGGTGCCAAAAAGGAGATATCACGGCGATTTTTGTGCAAGTCATTGCCATCTGATTCCATCTAGAATTTTTATGCACTCTGCAATACTTATTCATTATTATGCTTAAACAACGTTTTGGTATTTTTTAGTTATTTTTTAAATAATTGCTTGATAACTGTCAAATAATTTTTTATATAATTTTCTCCACATAAAAACAAACAAAAACAAGAACTAATTCGATGCCACAGCTAGATGTACGCACAATCGGGAAGTGTCATTTCAGTATCTTTGACAGCTTTCCTGCGGTCTCCTTGTTTATGCCTGCATGCTGAACATTCTATTATGGTGCACATGCAGGCAATTTTAGGGGCTTTTATCAATTTAGGTACGCAAAGCAGGGATTTAAACCGTAACCGAAACCGAAAACCATTTAGGAACGAAAATTTTCAGTAACCGTAACAGAAACAAAATTGCTATTTGAAATTTAAAAAAAAAACACGTAACCGTAAGCGTAACCGTAAAGTATTTACCGGTAACTGGTTTTAACCAATATTAGCCGAACAATAAAAAATAAAAAAAATTTCTCATGTCTGCCTTGGAGGACGGATTTTGAAATATTGTGGCAATTTGACAGAGTTACTTTCAGCGAGTGGTGCATCTGGTAATACGATTTCCGTTCAATCTAACTTTAGGATTAAGGATACTTGGTTGGAATCATTAGTCGTGCTTATAATAAAAAAAGTCTATTTCTAAATCTATGACGCTCCTGCATCGCTACATGTGTCAGTACGTGTCGCCATCAGTGTAATAACTAATAAGTTAGAATTCTCAGATGTCCATCCAATTCGGTTCTACCAAAACCACCAATGTTCCTGACATGCAGTAGCCAATATGAAGAAACGAGGTAAATTGACTGTCATGCAGAGCTGGCGGAAAAGAAAACATAGTATTCATTTAGTCTGAAACGTCGCTAGTAACGATTTTGAGACAACACAGAAAGAAAAAACAATGTGACCGGTTTGACATTGTCGTTAAGTGTATGTTTCATATTAACCGTGATACAGAATTTATCTGAACAGAAAACAATCACAAAAATTAAAAATTATTTTGTGAAGTGAAAGCTAATATATCCTTTGATGGCCAGTATTTACATGGAAGTTCAGTGACTGGCCGGCATCGGCGCTTTGGTGTTCAAGCTGGCGAGCCCCGTCATGGAAGATCCGTTTACTGACCGGCATCGTTTTTTGTTGTTTTTTTCGTCCTTTTCACTATGAAGTCAAGTCATTGAGATTCTGACAAACTGTGGCAATTCATGGATAGCGAGTGGAAATGTTTGCGTTGATCAATCCTTCCTAAATGACTGCTGACGCTAGGGTATTTTATCCCAGCATGGCAAGGCTGACGTGTTTTATCGCGAAAACGCAAGAAAAAACAATACGGTGAAGAAAATTAGCTGCAGAGGATTTGAGAATGTGACCGCCTACGCCACGAAAAATAAATTTTACAACGCTGAACATCACTTTTTTCAGGAAGCTAGTTTAATTTGATGTACTATACTTAGGGTCCGGTGGTATACGCAGGTGTTTGGCCCTGATAAAAACTAAAAACGGTATAACGGAGCCTAAAAATGAAGAAAAAAAAACGTGGCATGATTGAGCACGCGCTTTGAGTTACAAAAACAATAATAAACATTACTTTCTAGAGACTAGAAAAGTAAGAGATGTGTTTATTGCTTCTGACGCTACGAAATTGAGTGCGAAAATATGCAATTTCAAACAGGAATCAACTGCTTTCTGTGGTAGTTACGATTATCTAACAGAAATATTTCGAACGTTCCCATAGCCAAACGATATCTGTTGCTTTGATAAATTATGTTATACGACATACCGCTCCAGAGGATCGCGAATATAAAAACTTATTTCTTTAACGCAAAAAAGCGAGAAACACCACTGCATTGTGGATGATCACACTGCCGGGTTTGTGAATGTGACCCCTTGACGCTACGAAAAATAATTGTTACAACGTTGAACGATGCCGTTTCTGAAAGATAGTTTAATTATCCGTGCTGCACTTGAATCTCAGGAATAAAAACGTGTCTAGGCCTAATAAAAAAGTAAAACTGCGGAGCGCAACCTGTATAAATAAAACCTGGCGGCACGCGGGGGATAGCACTGATCTACGAGAACAAATTAGATACTACTTTCCGGAAGTCAGAATATTAAGAGATGTGCTTAATTAATACGTAGCGCGCTATGAGCTCAGCTAAATTACTGCCTTAAAATGACGGTATTTTTGATTCGACAGCGGGTGAAGATGGCCGCTTTCAGACAAACTTCAGCTGCATTACTGTGGCAGTTTTACCACTTACACATTTTCCCATTTTGCTCGCAATATGCTCATTATTATTACATTTCTTTCTTCCTTGAAAGGGCTTGTACTGTTTGCCTACGGTTATGAATTATCCCGGCAAAACAAGAGGGCCACGGTTTGTGCTTTGCAACAATTCAAACTTAGGCTCGCACTTTTTGTTTTCACCTTGTCCGTGATTATTACCCTAAAGAACGGTGCCGACGACTGCAAAAATATAGAAAACATTTAAAATAATAAAATCTAATACAGAAAGGTGAGAAAAAAAGTATTAAAAAATATAAAAACTAATACAAGAAGGTGAGAAACAATATTTTAAATAATAAAAACTAATGCAAAAAGGCGAGAAAAAATATATTACAAATAATAAAAACTAACACAAGTAGGCGAGAAAAAAAATATTTAAAGTAATAAAAACTAATACGAAAGGTAAAAAAAGATTTAAAATAATGAAAACCAATAGAAAAAAAAAAACCATAGGAAAAGAGTGTTTTCCGAGATTCGAACCAACGTCCGCACGCTCTGCAAGATAGCGCGTCAGCAAACTAGGCTAAAGTTGCCCGGTTATCCAAGGGTGTTTTCTGGAAAGATACATGTCTGCTGAAGTCGTTTCGAACCGTTGTACTTACTTTCGTATTTAATATTTTCTACGTATACAGGACTTATTCATAATATTATGGCAATAATGACGTCTGCAATAATTTATTATTGCTGTGTCTTATATGAGTTTTATAATGCGGTTTGCTTATCCTTTTATTTGAAACGTTTTGAAGATACGAAAACAATCTCATCGAATCAACAGCCTATGTTTCGCACGGTTTGCCGGCCGTATCGGCCGTGTGCGTTTGAATGCCTGCGTTCGCGACCGGATAACGGTTAAATTTCCCGATTAGTCGTGATGCGTGGAGTTTGCTGTAGTTTCAAACGTGTCCGAAAAAGACGGAAGCGACTGTGAGAAGTGGAACTTCGTCAAATCGGCTCAGCAGCGAAGATCATGGTACGGGAACCGAAGTAAGTTTGTTTCTTTGTTCGTTAGGGCTAGCTTATTTCCTGCGTTCAGAAAGCTTGTTATTGTCTGTAGATCGCTTGCTTTTACCAGTATTATTAATTGTGCGTGAATGGTGTTTTGCAAGGCTGTTTTTCTTCTTTTTTCCCCGATGCAGAGACTACTCGCTCAAGGTTCATCAGTAGCGGCGGAACTCTTTGGGAGACGGGGGGTGCGGGGGTGGGGGTCAAAGCGGATGGGGGAGGATTGCCTCCCTAAAGGCCGGCCGACGACGCCATTGCATGCGGAGAGCTGGACCCGACAAAAAGCTTTCTGTGTAAGTCCTTTGTGTTTTTACTCTTTTTTTTTATTTGTGTGTTCGTTGTTTCACTTTTTCTTATGATTTAGTCCGGGTTTCTGTTGCTCATGTGTTCATTATTTATTAATTTTTTTCTTTATTAAGTTTTAGTTAAAAATATGATGCCCTCGTCATTTCCCAGTCCGGGAAACGGTGGTGACCTCGTCGTGTTCAAGGAGCAGTAATGAACTTTTCATCTTGTATTGCTTCCGGCGAAGAATGGTGTCTGTGCGTGTGTGTGCGTGCGACGTGTTGGTCACAAGGGATGATTTCGGGACTGAACGGAAAAACAAGGCCAGCGAGGAGCGACTGGGGGACTTTGAACATCGCACGGTGCAAGGAAGGACTTCAACGACGAGGCTAGCAAGCAAGCCCATGTCAAAACTGCTGTGCTCGACCGGAGAGTTGAATCAGAACTTTACCCTGTGAGTCAGGATCAACGACTTTGGAACTTTCGTATAGTTTACAGCTTAATTGTCGCCTTCCTTTTATTTTATTTTAATAGGAGTATGTGTGCTATTACATTTTTATTTTATTTTAATGGTTGTTCGTGTGATATCACTATTATTTTTTCTTGAACGGCGGAAGTGCTTGTTTGGAATTTTGGCGCTTTTATGTATAAAACTTTTTTTGCAAACCATATCTGTCTGCTCCCTCGACAACCAATCCCGCCAAAGGGCTGTGACTTTCAGACGTCGAATGATATGTTACTGTGTTTGCTAACTAGCGATCGCCTGCATTTGATTTTTGTAGCATACATATTTGTCGGAATTACAAATTTCGAACCAGGCCACTAAAGATTGGTCAGTGGCCTATTCTGCCGATGTATCTACGTAAACACACGTTTGACAGTGTGGGATAGCAGTAAAATGTATATTTTGTGGATATTCATACAAATGCATTATATGATCCCATGTCTGGACCTGAAAGTATGGTACCTGCCCCATGGCAATAATTTTAATGTGATGCTAGAAGGAGCATCACATGAAAATTGCTTTATATGAGGTGGGTACCCTATTTGCCAGGCCCAAACACGGGATAATATAAAGCAGTCTATATATGGTATATAAGGAATTGGGCAGATGTGGTCATATCTGCCCAATTCCTTATATATCCATATCTGTATTTTCATTATAAGTCTAGATATGACATTTTTGTAAGGGATGGCTTGTAGCATCAGCTGCAGTACATCGGAAGGTGAAACAGTAGGTGTGTCACTCTATTAAACTACTTCTATTATATTCAGGTGTTGCCTGATACGGTTTAATATACGGTTAGACCCACTCCGGTGAAGCTCTACGGATTGGCCAGATACGGTTCAGCTTCCGCTTCGACCAATTACGGTTGGGTTTCCGGACTGGGTATTTCCGGTTCATTTACGGTTTCTAGAAATCCGGTTTGCTTAGGGGCCCATATGACGGATTAAAATTCCGGATTCATTCCGGTTTATTTTTAAACCGTTTTTTTTTTGGTAGGGCTGCTGATTCTCAGGGACGGCGTCCTCTCATAGTCAAAAACAGTTTTCCACTTCTAACTTTTTATTCCGGTAATGATATGCATTAAAACTTAAGCATCTCGCTTGAACGGCTGCGGCTATGTTCCGACAAAGTTTGGGCTTTCTCCAAAGTCTAGTTTATTTTTGCGGTGCGAAAACCAGGGTTCGATTTTTTCAGGGACATTCTGTACAATAAGCTATTGCACCCTCCTCCTTGTTAAAAGTTCTAGTTGTTAGGGTTTTTTTACTTACTATATGGTGTGTCTCTCTTCATGATATAAACCACAGTGAAGTCTGAATTCTTGTGCTAGGTGCCACCCTGACCAGGCTGAAGCTGACATGATTAGCAAGCATCGTAACGTGAGTTGAATGAAATGACAGCACAAATTGACTACTGTGTGGATGTTCGTGCTTCATGGCAGTCATGCAATAACAGTTGCCTTGACGTCACTTGTGTTGATGGAAGGTTGCCCTATTATGTCAGCAAGAACTATTTGTTTTTATTAATTTAGGGAGCTTGTGGGCCATTACATGGAGTAACTTTGTACAGCATCCTTGTCTAAGGGCTATACCATATTTGCTGTTGTGCTTCCTGTTGGAGGATAATGCCTTATTTGCATTGCATTCCAAATCTCACTTTTTAATTACTTCAATAATACCTAGTAGCTGGCATTTATGTCAGCTTCTGCCACATCAACCCATGACCTTTGATTGTGTGCCAAACACACCACTAAATAGAAATGGCTTCATTATTACATTTTGTTCCTCCATTGCATAGGATATGCGAATCCCAGCAATTACATTCTCCAACGGTATTTTGTATTATTCACAATTTCAAATTATGTTAACAATTTCATAAACCTCCAAATCACTCATTGACCGATCAATTATTTAAATAAATGTCAACTGTTAATCGGTTGCAAATTTCTAATTAAAGCACAGTCCCACCCTGCATTACTGTTTGTGTATAATATCAGGAAATGTTGATTAAACATACAGGTTATTTCATAACAACTTTTTATGTCTGACCCATTATATTCATTGTTTTCTAGATAAGTTTGAAGTTATATAAGAGAGTGCTCATCTTAAAATTAAGCCATACCACTGGATGTAAACTAGTGTGTGACCGATACATATGTTCCCAGCGAAATGAAAGAAGGCATTTAAGAAGGGCAAACCACTTGCTTTGCTGTTTGTCTTGTCTTCTTCTAAGTGCATGGGTGTTTCTGTCTAGAAGTGTTAAAGTGAAATTTGCTGCTGCAGGACTAGTTTTCCTGACTCAGCTGGTTTGTCTGGCAGCTTGCAACCTATGGCAACCTGAGGAACTGCATCACAAGAGTGAAAGGGACGCCCACCCAGCACTTCTTCGAGGGTGGTGTCTTGAAGGGAGAACTGCGCCTAAAGTGAATGCCATGGCAGGTGGGTCATTACAGTGAACCCCTAGCACAAATAATCCCAAACAAAAAATTATTAACAAATGGGTTAGAAACAAAGAATGGAAATATGGAAAAAGAGGTGGAGGTGAACACACCGTAGCACTGTGTTTTATGCGTCTGTTCTCTTCTGTCCTTTGCACCGTTTTTTGTTTTTGTCTTAAATGATGGTTTATCATTTAGTCAGTATCAGCACTAGTGAACAAAAGTATGCTCTCAATCATTCCTATGAATTAACTGTGTGCTTGCAATTTAATCACAAACATTGTTTATGCTTGTGTCTAGAAATGTAACTCGTACAGTAATCTATTAAAGGGACATTGATAGGGTGTTTATGCTTGTCGAGGTTTGTGTTTGAACATGACCTACGATATTCCAACTACCCAGAACATTACTTGCGGATCCAAATTTGTTTGTTTCTGTTCAAAAAAAGCCATTCTTGAATTGGTTGCTTGCTATCGCATTCACTCTCTTTTTCATGGTTATCTGGGGTTTAAACTGTACGTACCAAATATATTCAAAGTTTTGCATCATCTAAGGCGTACACACAACATTAAAAAAAGAAGAATATGAACCCCATTTTTCTGGTCTTCAAAAGCCAGCAAAAATGCTGATTGAAAAAAAAAATCCTGCACAGATCACAGGAAGTCTTTATACATATCATATTCAATACAGCGACGTACTGCGGGCTGGACGTTACGATGGTGACGCATGATGCACCAACGTTGCGACGGATGAGGGGGCTTTACATCGGAACGGTCATTTGTGATACCAGCCAATTGATCTTCAAGCGCAGACATCGAGCGTTTGTCGTGCAAAATAATCGCACGACGAACGGTGCACGCAAATTCGTCGTCGTCGTCTTTTTGGTTTCGAACTGCAGATTGTTTTTGGCTTTATTAAATATATATGTGGCTGTGTAGTAAAATATTTCCTGACTAGTCTCATGACACAAATTAAATCGCCTGGCAAAAAAATGAAAAAAAATATGCACATTTTTAGGGCGTGTTAGCGTCTCTTTAAAGAACAAAACCGAGGTGCAAGCTGGCACAGGTTAAACAAGGTGAATTACCCAATACAGTAGTAGGGATTCATGAAGGATGATGCAAACACTGAAGTCTAAAACAATGGGCTAAAAATAAATAGGCAACCCTGAAGAGGGAGACACAAAGGCACTCTTTACAAATAATATTTTCCTGCTTACAACCACTCTATAAAGGGAACTTGTTCCCGGATATTGCAGCCTTCTACTGTACGCAACCCCGAAGGTCCCCAAGACAACAAACGAAACGAAGCAACCTACGAACCTCTGAGTAAATGTGGTTGAAAGAAGAATAGCTTGAGTTTTTAACCTAGGAAGTACAAAAACATCATACACAAGGTCAAGTTTCAGGCAAAAAGCAGTGGCATAGCCAAGAAATTTTTTTTTTCTTTTTAGGGGGGGGGGGGGGGTGGCTGAGATGTCCATTACTTGGGGTTCGGAGAGGGGTAAGGGGTCAAAATGCTTGTGTATAATATTATAGGGTCGGCTGGATTTCGGGGTGGGGCTGAAGCACCATAAGCACCCCTCCCCCTCCCTGGCTATGTCCCTGTACGCCTGTTCCACTCAGAGTCGAAACAGAGAAAGGGCTAGTCAACGCATTTCTGTGCTTTATTATTATTATTATTATTGATTCTTGCAGTATATGCTTGTAGTCATTCCCTTTGGTCAAAACTCTTTCAACAGGATCCCATAAGGGTGCACAAATATTACATTTAATCAAGTGGGTTTTTTTTGTTGCTTTTCTTGCAGAATTTTGTTGCAAAGATTGCATAAAAACGGATCTGTATTTGGAACTGTGAAAACATTCGAGGGAATAATTGTGACCCTTTATGGATCTGTCCTGAAAAAGTTTTGACCCAAGAGAATGTCCACAAATTTATACTGAAAGAATCAGTAACAAAATTGAAGCTCGTAACTGTGGTGAATAAGTCTTCCCTATGTTTTGACTGTGAGTGGAAGAACTTTTTTAGCCTATATCTTTTTCCCTAGAACCAGGTTTGATGTCCCTCTCTTTTAGGAAGTTAATGTTGTGTATGGTGCTTTTCTATTCTCTAGGCTCTAAGCCCGAGGGTATTCCCTGTTTCTTTGATCACATTTACACAGAGGTTAGTAGGTTGCTTCTTTGTATCTCTGTCCTTGAGTATGTTGGGGGTCGTGCTGAGTCCTGGACAGTGCAAGTTGAAATGTTAGTGCAATGACCGAAATCCACTGCTTGCTGGGCTTCTACAAGAGATGCTGAAGTAGCAATAAGAGGTGGTTTGAGGAGAAGAGTGCATGGCCACTGCTATGCTACTCTGCCTGTTTCTCATTGTTTAGGAGCACCTCGATTTGAGTCATCTTAATGTTTTGCTATCGCCTAGCCATGCTTGTTGGCGCCTCAATTATCTGGGCCGGTGGCCTTTGTACCAGCCAAATAACTTTGTCCTATGACTCAGCAGGCAAATATAATGGTGACTATCAACAATCCCAGAAGCAGCACATCTGCAGAAAGGTGTGCAGTTCTCAACCATGATCAGGCCGAGTCAGGCATCATGCCACTGCAATCTCTTCTGAACGCTATTTTTTATCGCTAGTTGAAGTTTTCTTGTTAAGGCAGTGCCACTGTTGTCAGTCGTCGCTTGGTCATTTCAGCTTCTAGCAACAATGACTGGACTGTAGGGCTGATCATTGATTATAAATTTAAACCTCATTATAATTGCCATCCTTTAACCGATTATTAATAGATTAACCATTCTCATTCCTTTCCATGCATACTCAAAATTATATATATTTTTGTTTGCCTTTGCTGAATGTTTGATAAACAGTATACAAAATTGATTATGAATCAACTTCAATACATAGTTGACAACAGTTTGAGGACACACTCGCAGATTATTACTTGAGTTGCATGAGGCAAAGAGGTTTGTTGATATTCATCGGCAAGAGCGGCTTCCTTTGATTGTTCTCACTGCTCTTAAACAGACACTCAATATATGTTAAAGTGGCCAGAGCACATGTAACCTCTGCACCTTGTCTGGAGTTACAAATCTTGCCCTTACAGTTTATTTTAGGTTAAAATTTCACCTAAACTTTGCCCTTCATATACATGTACTTGGCCATTTCTGTATGGTAAAAGCATTTAATTTTGATTTTCTTTTGGTTCGTCAAAGTTTTACCGGTTGACCGGATAAACAGAATAATCTAGGTTAAAGCAATATTTGATTAATTGGTCGGTTATTCTATCCATTGCCCAGCCGTACTCTTCAATAGAAGACACTAAGGTCCAGCAAAATATTTTTCTTTTGGAGATGGTTGTAAGTTGAAGTGCACCCATGGAAAGGGTTTCTTAAAGTCTCCCTCTATATGTTCTGTTGTGTGCCGCTTAATTAAGAACTTTTCTCTCCATTTAAATTTAGCTGAGTCCAGTCTTCGAAACATTCATCATAAGAAATTTCTTTTACAGTGAAACTTCAAGGCAATGTCAAAATTATTGCAAGTTGAAGCAAACCAAAATCACAGAATGAAGTGATTGTTTCCTCTTTTGTTTAGAGAGAACTAATGTTTATCAATATTTTATTTGAAGGTGCTTTTATGACAAAAGGTGTCACCAACCTCTGCTCAAGACCATGTGGCTTGCGGCTTTAAAACCCATCACATTCAAGTGTTATTTAAATTTGTATCTTCATCATCATCATTTTCTTGAACCACAGCATTAGAGCACCAGTTTTACAAAGAAACTTCCATTGGGGGGGGGGGGGGGGGCAGAGACTCATGCTCTTATTAATTGTGCAATGACAGTGCAGCCACCAACTGCCATTTCTAGTGAAATAGCGGTCTCTGGTGTAACAAATCCAACAATGAACAGTGTGGAATAATGAAAAACAGTCCACTGCT